CTTGGAGGAGAGACGAAACGTTTCATTAGAGAAGAACCCGTCCAGAAGACCTATATTATTTTTTTCTTTTTGATTTTTTACCTGGATTACTGAGATGCCTCAGGACATTTTAAAAGTTGAGAAACTTAGAGAAAACTGAAAAAAAGCAAAAACAAATTCATCATTTCTATTTATTCCTCTAACCTTAGGGGGAAAAATGAAAGCACATAATGAATTCAGCACAATAAACGTAAATCTGAAGAACGGTTTCATGAAAACTTTGAATTAATTCGAAGTGAATATAAGTTATGATTTAATTTATAAACACGCATTTTTTTGTTAATTTTTTTGTTTTAAATTTTTAATCAAGCAGCTAGAAGAAAAAACAAGTTAACACTGAGAACAGTAGGATCTGTAAACTATAACACTGTTTGCATCAGGGCTGTGGCAGCTCAAACATCCTGTTTAAAACCATTTCTTCAGCAGAACCACGAAGTGTTTCTGAGAGTTCTGTCGTCTCACAGCAGACARAGTCACAGGAAATCTGCAGAAARCATCAAATGTCTTTAACAAACACTCACTGATAATCTGCTGATGTGTCGGTGGATCTTAGCCCCGGGTCAGGAGTGTGGAAAGCTTGTAGCGGACGCCTCATGATGATAGTTTTGATGTTGTGGTAAAGTCATTTTCACTACTGTTAATATCTTTATATGAACACAAATTCTCAAATTTAGTCTCTAATTAATAAAGAAAAGTCTAAATTGTAACCTAACGGTGAAACCCAGGGGATTTTGGAGTTATTTGCAGCAGATGATGTCTTGATTTTACAACGTCCACCACAGACCTAACGGGTCGTTACGTCATTACAACATTCCTGTTTGTGGTTTAAACAAAACCACAGGAGGGGAAAAAAAAGGTCTTTAAGACACGTCACGCTTCAGGAAGTTCCCTGATCTCCACGACTCCCAGAGAGCCTCTGAATCTGGTCAGCATGTGCCTGTTGAGATGTTCAGCTCAGGACAAAAAGCATGAGTGGTGAAATCATCTCAGACAGTTCATACACACAGTGGTTGTGAGGCTTTAATACAGGTGAGGAAAAAGGCCCAGAGACAGAAAATTGGCAAAAACATTTGAGGTGTTTATCACAAAGGCAGGAAATAAACACTGAGGGAGGTGATGGAAAACAAAATGATTTTTAATGTTCAGTTTGAACTGTTGGCCTCCCAGATATTCATGAAAAACTGAGCTGATAAAGGTCTAAAATCAAACCTAAAATTAACTTTTCTGAAACAGAAGCTGTTTCATGTGTTGTGGTCAGAAAGCCAACACCAACACAAACCCTCCTATTTTCTTAAAAAGTGGTTCTTTAAATTTTGAAACGGATGGTTAATATTCTAGAATGTGGCATAAAACTGCTTCAGAAACACATTTAGCTTTTGGCTCGCGTTGATTTGAAGCACATTTAGTTTCAAATGATGTTTAAGCTTYACAGCGACTCGTTTCATGAGATCATGTAAAGTTCAGTGAAAAAAACGAGCAACACRGGTATTAACTGCACCGCAGAAGGCAGCGAGGGAGCGGGACGTTCTGATTTGTTTTAAAAGGTAACGAGAGGAAATCGGATCTGAGCTTGTAGATTTGCAGCTCGGTCGAACACACAGGTACAGAAACTGTGTGAGAGTCACCACCAGCAGCCTCCAGTCAATGAAATGTTTCCAAAGAAAATATGTGGTTCTGAGCTGAATGATTCTCTTTGTGGGTAATTATAGAATATATGTTGGTGTGTGTGGTGCACTGAGAGGCAACAGGAATGTGTGTGTGTGTGTGTGTGTGTGTGTGTGTGTGTGTGTGTGTGTGTGTGTGTG